CTTCCATCTCAGCCTCCTGAGTAGCTGGGACTACAGGGGCCCGCCACCACACCCAGCTAATTTTTGTATTTTCAGTAGAGATGGGGTTTCACCATGTTGGCAGGCTGGTCTCGAACTCCTGACCTCAGATGATCCACCCGCCTCAGCCTCCTAAAGTGCCGGGATTAAAGGTGTGAGCCACTGTGCCCAGCCTTCCATCAACTTTTCACCAAGTGGTTTTTAGCTGTCATTGATGAACATTTGTCTCTTGCCGTTATTTTATCAGGAGCTAGAAAACGGTGGTATTCAGGAGGCAGAGGTTGCAGTGAGCCAAGATCGCGCCACTGCTCTCCAGCCTGGGTGACAGAGCCATATTCTGTCTCAAAAGAAAACAAACAACAAACAAACAAAAAGAAAATGGTGGTATTTCATCATTCTGTCTTCATTTATTTAGCTGGAAATCCTCTACAAAGAAAAGACATTCCCTTATCTGTTTGGTTGCCATGAGGTACAGTTTCTACAAGAAAGGTGAGATCAGTGCCTGCTTGTGCCCTTTATTTCCTAGTTTCACAATTATGAGCTGGTTCCCTAGCATTTTCCAAAAGTGACCAAGGATGAATTCATGGATTTTAATATGTTTCAACCTTTCATCGTTATTTTTTCACATGCTCAAATTATCCTATTCCTGGGCCAGCGGGAGCCCCTTCAAGTCGACTCCTGAATTTTGAGGGCTTGTTTGTTTTTGAGACGGAGTCTCACTCTGTTGTCCAGGCTGCAGTTCAGTGGCACAATCTTGGCTCACTACAACCTCCACCTTCCAGGTTCAAGCGATTCTCCTGCCTCGGCCTCCCTAGTAGCTAAGATTACATGTGCGCACCACCACGCCCAGCTAATTTTTGTATTTTTCATAGAGACGAGGTTTCACTGTGTTGGTCAGACTGGTCTCAAACTCCTGACCTCAGGTGATCTGTCTGCCTTGGCCTCCCAAAGTGCTGGGATTACAGGTATGAGCCACTGCACCCAGCCATTTTTTTTTTTTTTTTTTAAGAGATAGGGCTCATTCTGTTGACCAAGCTTGAGTGCAGTGGTGCAATCATGGCTCAATGCATCCTCAACCTCCCAGGCTCAAACCATTCTCCCACCTCAGCCTCTTGAGTAGCCAGAAACACAGGTGCCAGCCACCACGCCTGGCTAATTTAAAAACTTTTTTTGGTAGAGATGGGGCCACCTCGTTATGTTGCCCAGGCTGGTCTCTAACTCCTGGCCTCAAGAGATCCTCCTGCCTCAGCCTCCCAAAGTTCTGGGGTGATAGGTGTGAGCCACCGCACCCTGACCTTGAGTTCTTTTAGGAGTCTTGGACAGTTTCTTTGCTTTCTGGTGCAACAAGATATTCCAGACTCAGCTGGGACTGGTGGTATGCACCTGTAGTCCCAGCTACTCAGAAGGCTGAGGCAGGGGGATCATGTGAACCCAGAAAGTTGAGGCTGTAGTTAGCCATGATCGTGCCATTGCACCCAGCCTGTGCAACAGAGGGTGACGCTGTCTCCAAAAAAAAAAAGATATTACAGACCCATTTTATATATTTCCTGCCCCAGATTGGAAGCAGCCATTTCTCCAAGGAGCAGTGGTTCCTTTGAATGGGAAATGCTATTGAGAAGTTACAGTGTGGTCACTAGAGGTATATTCCTTGTTATGGCTGTTTGTTGTTTCTAGGCCAATAAATTAATATTTGTAAAGAGAAAATACATCATGTGTTCCTACAGATATGTGCAATTCAAATTTAGGATTATAGGATTTTTCAGTTTTTATATTTTTATGTCTTGTTATACTGAAAATCTTGGTTGCTAACAATGTTAACATAATTATTTGAATTTATACACACATATATTTATATCTTCAGAATAATCATACCAATGCCATTACTAACAACATAATTACTGAAAACATAAGACTTCTGTGCAGTTTTTTGTTGTTAGAATATGTCCCACTAAAGATGTATAGTCAACTACTGTGGTTTCCTTTTTTTCAACTACCATGAAAAGTCACTTAAAATAAAGTCACCTAATTAAAGTCACTTAAAATAAGTCCTCTCTGTGTGAGTAAACCACCAACTTGATATATAATGAGGTTCACTTGTTTCGCTTTGCTTTGATTTTAAGGATTGTGCTCTTATTTTTATTGAAATTGATTTGTTTTATAATTGTGTATAACATATACACAATTCTCAAGTCAAATATGCAAAGTATGTATTGTTCATTTAAAGTGAAGCAAGGCCTCTCAAACTCTTTGTTCAAAGAAAATCATAGTCATAGGAGAAAGAAGAACAAAGAAACTTACGAAGTTCTTCTAGCCAATACAGACTAAGTATACCTTCATTTTTTAAAAGAGATGTCAATTACAAGGTTATTACCAGGGCAACATATAGTTAAGCAAGGTTACCAACTTAAAAGCAGATTTTTTTAAAAAGGTACATAGTTACATTTCTCTGAAACCCACGTGGCTTAAAAGATTCCTTTGTTTCATATACCATTTGCAGCAGGTATCAGAACTGGATGAGTCACACATTCTCACCTAAGTGCCTGTCCTGGGAGCAGGGGGCGGGCAGGGTGCTTTATGAGAACAGGCTTTCACCAGCTTTATGAGGCTCTCGGGAGAGTGTCTGCTTTTCCACTCTTGCAGGGGAAGGGGGAACATCTCCTTTTCCCCTTTCTGAGATTCCCTTCACTAGAAATTGTCAGTCGGGAGAATCTGCATTCTCAAGGTCAAGCTCTGGAATTCCATTAGACAGCAGGGAGCCAGAAGAGCAGGCTGAGAACTGAAGTCAAGAAATGGAAAGAAGTCTTACAATTCTGCTTCTACAGCCTGCAAAGAGTCAAAGCCGAGATGCCGCACGACCCTGAGACACGCCTCTGCTCTCACCTTCATCACCCTACCAGGATCCTTGGGCCGTTTCTTTAAGCTTGGCCCTCCTCCAGGGTCAGCCAGGGATTCAGAAAAGAGCCTTCAGATTTTGCATTGCTGTCATTTTGGTGCTCCCCAGAAAGCCATGGAGTGGCATCAAAGGATCTACCCACTCACCCCGTTCCCATAACCCCTAGCTTGGCACACACCGAGGAATGCCATGACTGGCTGGTTGTGATTGGTATACCCCAGATTTCCCAGAGTGTCTCAGCAGTTTTGAAAGAGTTTCCTTATTGCACAGGCCCAGATGTGAAAAACGTTGTCAAAAAAATGAGGGCAGGTCATCCTCTCCTTTGGGGGCCTTGGAAAATATCCTGGTCCATTTTATTCATATCTTAGAGTATACTGTAGCATTTGAGAGTATCCTTATCTTCTCTGAATGGCTAAAGGAATGCCTATAGCAAAGGCTGGCAGAATCACCATCAACACCAGGACCTAGTTAACTCTTGGAATGCCCATTTCTGTTGATGACCAGGGCATGGTTATTCACAGTCCAACTGTACAGCCTTGGAGACTTACCACCTGTGATGAAACCCAGTCCAGATTATTGCTGAAGTGTTACAAGCTGGGGAGTATGCGTGGGTAAAGCCCTGCCCCCAGGACTAAAGCAAAAGGGTTTCCGGAAATTTGTCCAGGCTGGGGCATACAATCAATCTCAATCCCGGGCAGTCCTCAGGAGGTTGCCCAGGCAGGGGATCTGGTGGACAGCACTACCCTACTCCTGGCCACGTGCTCATCAAAATCTGATGCAGGCTGGGAAGTGCAGGCGGCTGAATTCATCTCCCAATTCTTGTGGAACCAGAGGGTTGTCTAGGCTGAGGAATGGCTGCTTGGAGAATCCCACTCCATGTCCTCTGGAACTTTTCCAAAAGGCAACTTAAGCTGGGCACTGGCCAGAGGTGAAGCCCCCTCCCTCATCCTGTTAAGCATTCCTGAGAGGAATGTCCAAGCTGAGAGACTAGCGCCAAGGAAATGACCTCCCTCCATCCCCATTCTCCTGTACTGGAAAGGGCCAACTTGCAGGTTAGTGCTAAAGACTTTTTTTTTTTTTTTTTGAGACAGGGTCTTGCTCCTCTGTCACCCAGGCTGGAATGCAGTGGCGCAATCATGGCTCACTGTAGCCTTGACCTCCCAGGTTTAAACAATCCTCCCGCTTCAGCCACCTGAGTAGCTGGGACTACAGGCATGTAATCTCAGCTCACTTCAACCTCCACCTCTCAGGTTCAAGCGATTCTCCTGTCTCAGCCTTCCAAGTAGCTCACTCAGCCTTTTAAATTTTTTTGTAGAGGTGGAGTCTTCCTATGTTGCCCAGGCTGGTCTCAAACTCCCAGGCTCAGGTGATCTATCTTCCTGCCTCAGCCTCCCAAAGTGCTAGGATTAAAGGTGTGCATCACTGAGCCCAGCCTATTTTTTTTTTTATTATTTATTACATGCATTTGTGCTTTCTACATTAATTAGATTTTCCAGTTTAAACATTTTGCCATCCTTCTTCAAATTTATCATTTTTGTTTTCTAGTTATTCAAGTTATTTACTCCTTTCTAGTATTAGTGCTGTTAAAAAGTCTGACACCATCCAAATTTCCTTTCTTGTGTAAGTCATTTGTCTTTTTGCATGGAGGCTGAGAGGACTTATTTTGAGACAGTCTTGCTCTGTTGCCCAGGATGGAGTGCAGTGGTGCGATCTTGGCTCACTGCAACCTTGGCCTCTTGGGTTCAAGTGATTCTCCTGCCTCAGTCCCCAAGTAGCTCAGATTACAAGTGTGCGCCACCAGGCCCAGCTAATTTTTGTATTTTCAGTAGAGATGGCCAGGCTCGTCTCGAACTTCTGGCCTCAAGTGATCTGCCTGCCTCAGCCTCCCAAAGTGCTGGGATTACAGGTGTAAGCCACCACCCCTGGCCCAAGAGGACTTCTTTTATCTTTGAAATCTAATCGGTTCACTAGGATCTGAGACTCCTGAGTCAATTTTCCCAAGCACACTGAGTGTCCTTACAGTATCCATATTAAGGGTGGTTTGTTTTGTGGGGGAAGAAACTTTTATTACCAGTTTAAACATTACTTCTGTTCCATTGTTTTTTCTTCAACATAAAATTTAATGTAGTTAATAAAACCTAAATATAAGACCTGAAACTGTCAAACTCCTAGAAGAAAACTTAGGGAAAACATGTCACGACACTGAATTTGGCAATGATTTCTTGGATATGACACCAAAAACAGACAATGAAAGCAAAAGCAGACGAATGAGACTGTATCAAACTTAACTTCCACACAGTTAAAAAAAAAAACCAAAAAAACAGTAGAGTGAAAAGGTAACCTACAGAATAGGAGAAAATATTTGCAAACCATGTATCTAGTAAGAGGTTAATATCCAGAAGTGGGACATGCAAATGGCCAAAAAGCAAACAGAGATGCTCAGCATCACTAATCATCAGGGAAATGCAAATAAATCAAAACCACAATGAAATATCACCTCATCCCACTTAGAATGGTTATTATCAAAAAGATGAAAGATAGTGAATGTGGAAACTATAAAAAAAAATGAGTTGGTGAGGATGTGGAGGAACTGGAACTCTTGTGCACTGATGGTGGGAATGGCAAATGGTCAGCTGCTACGGAAAATAGTACAAGTGTTCCACAGAAAATTAAAATACAACTACCATATGATCCAGCATTCTAGGTATACATCTAAAGGGATTGAAAGCAGAAACCCGAGGAGATATCTGCGCTCCCATGTTCACTGCAGCACTATCAGCAATACCCAAGAAATGGAAGTAGCCTAAATGTCTATCAAAGGTAAAGAAAGAAAATGTGGTATATCCATGCGATGGAACACTATTCAGCCTTAAAAAGGAAGGAAATTCTGACCACATGCCACAACATGGAGGAAGCCTGAGGACATGATGCTAAGCGAAACAGGCCAAAAAGACAAACACTGTATGGCTTCCCTTATGTGAGGTATCTAAGAAAAACACAAAGTAGAATGGTGGTTGCCAAGGGTCGGGGATGGACAGAGGCAAGGGGAAAGGAGTTGTTTGATGGATGAGTGTGGTTTCACAATTTGAAAAAGTTCTAGAGATTTTTTAACAATGTGCACAGAGTTAACACCCCTGTTCTAGACGCTTAAAAATGGTTAAGATGGGAAGTTTATGTCACGTTGTGTTTACCCCCACCACCACCACCAAACTCAATATAGTTAAATTTTCTTCTTCAACTATATTCAATTTAATTTCCTTTGCCTCTTTTCCTTATCTATTACTTTCTTATTTCCTTTTTTTAATTTCTTTTCAATGGAGTATCATCCCCCTGTGCATCTTCTATTTACGTTTGTGATAACCTTTCCTTTTTCCTCATTTTCCAGGGTCAGCTGTGGTCTTCCACTCTTTCCATCGCCACTACCCCTTCCCTCCTGGTCTGCAGTTTCTAAGCCCTTGAGAGCTGGAGATCCAGGTGGTGGCCCCTGGTAAACTGTATGAGCAAACAGGTTCTGAGGTGGCCTCATCAGAGGGCTGAGCTAGACGCTCCATGGGATTTAAAGGTGAAATTTGGTGACAATGGTATTAGCTCAGGGGCCTTCTGGAACCAATACTTGGGTGTCTTTGAGCCAAAATTTTCGCCAAGCAATCTCTGTAAAAGGGAGGGGTTATCCGTCCACTTAAGACAGAACTGGGAAGGTACAGGACACATGAGGTTATGGCAAAACTGCAAAGACTACAGGATAAACGTCCTCCAATCTTTGTTCTGAAAAGTCTGAAAAGGTTAAGCAGCCAACAAACTCAGAAGGACAGAAATAAAACATCTGTAAGCCTTATGGTGGTAAAGTTTCCAGCAGAGAAAGAACAAAGTTGGGCCACTGGCTCTATTCCTGCCCATTCAGAAGAGGGCACCAACAAGTCCATGGCTTGCCGAGTGACCTCACATGTTGGTAACTTTCTGGGCCTTTTCTCCTTATCTGAAAGAAAAAAAATAGGAGGAAGGAAATATTTCCAGCTTCTGAGGCGACTGCTTTTATTGCATATGAAAAAGGATTTTTTGTAGAGACAAGGTCTTGCTATGTTGCCCAGGCTGGAGTGCAGTAGCTATTCACAGGTGCAATCACAGCACACTATAGCCTCGAACACCTGAGCTCAAGCAATCCTCCTGCCCTGGCATCCCACGTAGCTGGGACTTAACAGGGATGTGCCACTGTGCCCAGCAATAAACATTATCTTTTTTTATATACATGAAAGACCTCCCCTTGCTGGGCATTCATGCAACTTCTGAATATATTCAGAAGAATCAAGTATCTACACGGACAAGATAAATTTTAAAGGATTTTTTTTTTAAACATAAAAGACTCTAAAATGTGGTAAGAAATCAGTCTTGTGCATTCTGTACATGTGTATTTTCCATTCTGTCTTCATTTACTGCTACAGGAAGCTGATGCCACAGCTGGCCACAGTTGAACAAAGACATGAGAAGGCCAGTTAATCTCTTCACCGCAGAAGCCCCCAAGTGAACCTGCTTCTGCAGGGCAGTTCTCAGTGTCCCTTAACTTTGTTCTCCCCAGGAGAAATCCATTTTGCGGCCAAATGTGACCAGCAGACTTGGGCGGACACACCTAGCACAATCACAGTCCTGTCATGCTGCCAACGTGGCCCAAGGCATGGTGTGCAGGGCAGTGTACCTGGAGGGCCTGGGCTACGCCTGCTCGCCAGCACCACCTCCGCCAGCAGCAGAACCCTTGCTGGACGCCTGGGCATCTGAGGAGCGGGAGGCCTGCTTTGGCAGACGGATGGGGACGTAGATGTTGGAAGCACAGTGCTCCTTGAGGTACTCTCCTCCCTTTTCTTCATATTCTTTCCTGGTGATCCAAACTTCATTGTCATCTAGGTGGTCCAAGGCCCAGTCACGAGCCCCGTACCAGGCATCCAGTACAGGGTTCGAGGCAAGTTGAACCTGAAACACAAAGATGATTCACCAGGATGCCTCCACCAGGGCTCCAGCTGTGAATGTTCACCCGGCTCAGCTATGGCACCTGGCATTTTATTCCCAGAAATATACACATAGGTGGGCCCAGTGCACTCCAAGACAGTTCAGGGCTAGTTCTAGACTCTGTAAACAAAGCTGAGCTGGAATGTCAGACTCTCCAGAACAGACGGTTTTCAGATAGTTTACAAACAAAAGACCTGCTACTCGAAAAGGGACCGTGGCCCAGACTCCTGCTGCACGATGCTGTCAACCACAAGCTGTCAGGGAGAGGTGAAGCGGAGACCCATGACCTGAGGAAAAGGCCTTCCTAGCCCTCCTCCCCCCTCTGAGCAGAGGGAAACAGAGGCTGCTGCAAGGTGACTCTAGCCAGGGTAGCAAAACAGCCTCAGGAGAAATGACAGCAGAGAGGGGTGACCTGGTCATTCTCGGTGAGGCTGCCAGCGCTTAGTTTCCCCTGCTTCTCACTGGAGTTGGTCCGGGGGTCAGCAGCTCTGAGAAGGCCCTCGGCTAGGCTGACCTGATCATTACGGTACTCTGCAGCTCCCACTGGGCCTCCTGTGTTCTGGAGTTACCTGCCTCACTTCCTACCTTCCTCTCACCTCCCCACTCCACCAATCCCGTGAGTTCCAGGTTGGAATGATGTTTTCAGAACTTTCGGGAGTGAGGGCAGAATCGGCATGCACAAACTGAGGTGGGAAAGTACAGACTCAGGAGTCCGGCTGCTGGGCTCGCCACGCAGGCAAGGGGCCTGTGAATGAGGGCCTTGTCACTAGGATAACCAGAGGCCCCACCCCCTGGCTTAGGGGGACTTACAGCATAAGTGTAAGGCATATGGTAGATGCCACCTAGTGGGGTATTCAATAAAGGGTAGCTGTCATTACTAACAAAAAATGCAGCAAGATAGATGGTTAATAGACTATACAGCCACGAAAAGGATGCTCTAGAAATGTACCTATTGATATAGAAAAACTCACAATAATTTGAAAGTGAAAAAAATACAGGTTACAAAATAAGCTATCAACAATCCATTTTTGGTTAAAACCATACACGAGATGAAAGCAACCAGAAAGCACACAAAGAACATTACTCGCAGAGGATGAAACTACAGTTTTCTTGGTTTTCATTTTGGTTTGAATTGTCTGACATTTTTATGATGTTTAAAAATGTTCTGCTGTTTAAGAAAAAACAGAAACTTAAAAGAAAGTTGTGGCCAGGCATGGTGGCTCACGCCTGTAATCCAAGCACTTTGGAGGCCAAGGCGGGCGGATCACCTGAGGTCGGGAGTTCAAGACCAGCCTAACCAACATGGTGAAACCCCGTCTTAAAAAAAAAAAAAAGAAAAGAAAGTTGTAAATTTGCACATCTTTGGGTTCTCTTCCTTCTAATGATCACGGAGGGCCTTAGGTGGTTGGGATGTTTGAGCCATTGCTGAATACATAATCTAAAATTGGAACATCAGGGCTTAGTGATGGTGTGACACACTCATTACATGAGCAATGTGAAAGAGGGCAGAAACAGGAGGGGAGAGGGGAGCTGTGGCTGGCCAGGTGAGACCAGAACAGCAAAAGACAAGGCTGGGAAAAGCTCTGGCTGGTAGCAGCATTCCTGCAATGAACACTCACAAAGTAATTTGGAAATTACCAAGAAATAGATCTTGAAAATCCTCTACAATTTTTCTCCACTATTTCTTCATAAGTTGCTGCTGCCAGCATGACCCAGCCCCATGTTCACACCCCGCGCTGTCACCTCTTGGCTTCAGCACTGCAGCTGTCTCCTGCTCCCCCTCTTCTTCCTCCACCTCCTTCTTAGACTCATGGGTGTCCTATGGCTCTTAAATGCTAGTGTTCTTTAGGGGTTCATCCTTAACATTACCTACCCTCCCAAAGAGTGCCCAGAGCACATTTATGCTTGTGGTGGGTGGGAGGGTGTGCATCTACCCTCTTGTCTTCCCCACCAAGCACTCATCTAGCTAACTGTGGCCATCTCTCCCTGTGTGTCCACTGGAAACTCAACCCACCCGGAAATAGAATGTACAATCCTCTCCCTTAAGCCTGTCCTTCCTCCCACTGTTCCTCATCCAGTGACTCTCCTATTCAGCAAACTAGTTGCTCCACCTAGAACTTGGGAGTTGTCTTAGGTCCTACTTCCCTCCTCAGATCCAACTTACTACTAAGCTCTGACAATGTCACTGCCTTAGCCTCTTTCACATCAACTCCCTCTCTTCCTCTCCCTCTGCCACTGCTGTCATGTTTCCTGCATAGCTACCAAGTGACACTGAGCCAAGGGCTTAAAACATATTTCACAAGACAGTGGCTGTCTCTTCCCTAACAGAGGTGGATCTTGTAAGGAACAGAAGGAAGGACAGGGAAGGGTTCCTGGAGGAAGTGATTTCCAGGAAACCAGCCACTGAGAGGGTTGGATAAGCTAGAAAGAGTACTCGATACAAAAGGAGCCAGCATGTGCAAAGGCCCTGAGGCAGGAAAACATGGCAGCTCTGGAAAACTAATAGTAGTTAGCTGTGGCTGAAGTACAAGGTGGACGGGGAAATGATGAGAGAACCCTGGACAGTTCTTCAAGGTCAGAACACAAGGGACCCTGGAAACCCTGGCGAGTACAGTGAGGACTTCCTCCTAAAGGCGGGGAAGCTGCCTCCTAAGTGGTCTGCTTCCAATATTTCTCCTAATACTCTATCTTGCACATCAGTGTCAAATATATCTTACTAAAACGTAAATCAGATCACATCACTTCCCTGCTTAGAATCCTTTATGGTTCATTACCGTGGCCTAAAGACATGAGCTATGCAGAAGAGTTAACAGGACCGGCCTACTGTGACCTTAGAAAGGCACACTTACAAGTGTGGGCCTTGGCAGGCATCTGGGAACTTGAATATTGGAAGGGTTCCCGCCATCACCTGATAAGAGTGGGTCAGTATGCCCATTCATACAAATAACGTGGCTTATGCCAAACGCATGATTCCCTTCTGTGACCTTGGAATTTGGGTCTGCTCCAAGCAGGGGGGTAACTATATGATCAGCCCCCAAATACAAATCCTAGGCACTTCGTCTCCTGCAAGCTTCCCTGGTTGGCGACATCTAATGTGCCCTTACGACACACTGTTGGAGAAATTATGTCCTGTGTGACTCCACAGGGAGAGGCCTCGGATGCTTACACCTGGTTGCTCCCAGATTTCCCCCGGGCACCTTGTCTCTCTGCTGATTTGCCATAGTAAGTCACATCCATAAGTGTGATTATATACTGAGTCCTGTGAATCCTCCCAGAGAATCATCCTGCCTGGAACGGTCTTAGGGACCCTCAGCACAACAGCTAGGGTCTGAGAGTTTATTACATGCAGGCCCATTGTTAGGCGCCTGACGTGCACCAGTACACCGAATCCCAGCAACAGGTACTGATTACCCACTTTCTACCACTGAGAAAGCCGAAGTTTAGCACAATTCAGTAACGGTGGTGATGGAGTCAGGACCAAGTCCCAGAGATGCCCCCCTGAATGTACACGACATCATGCAGCAGAGCAGATCATGGCCAAGCTCCTTAGTAGGATGCACAGGCTCTGCACAGTCTGCACAATGCGGGCTTTGCCGACCTCTCTACCTCACCCACCTCCACTTCTCTTTATCGGCCACTCCAGCAACACTCAGTCACTTCTCACTCCCTCAACAAGCCTCTGGACCTGTGCCCTTGCTCACGCTAGTCCTTCTGTCTGGGATGCTCTCTCCAATGTACCCCTTGCCCCACACCGTCTACATGGCAAATGCTTATTCATCCTGAGAAGATCCAGATCCATGGAGCCTTTTTCTCTGAAAGCCAATGGAGACTGCCAGGTGCCCATGCCTGTACCGTCCCTTACGCTCCAATTTGCCTGGTTCCTGACGCTCAGATAGCAAGGTCCTTGCAGCCAGGTGCTATGTTCAGGACATCCCCATAGTGCCTGGTCCATGATGGGAGCTCATCAGACTGTGTTTCTTGGTAATCAGGGAGTTGGTAGATAAATTGTGAGGCATTCACACCAGTCATAAAGATAGTCTTTTAGAAGAATGACGACATGGGAAAATGTACATGACAGGTTCAGTTCAGCTTACAAAGCAGTACACACTCACATGTGTAGAAAATTTAAGATGCACAAGCTCTGCCTGTAGAGCCAGGGACTTTGTAGGGAGAAAGGCTTATTCTTGATGTACACTCTTTTGTACTCTTAGAATTATATGCATGTCTTCATCTTCCAATTTAAAGAAACCACAAAATAGTATATAAAACATGATTCCCATTTTGCTTGAAAAATTAAACATAGACTTAAGACTAGAAGTCACAGAAATGTTAACAGTGATATTTCAGCATGATGGAGTTATAAAATAATTTACGCTTTATTAGTTTTGCAAACAGAAAACAGGTAATGCTGTTTTCAAAATAACTGGCTACCCAAACAATCAGTACCTGAAAAGAAGACTGGAAGGGTCTCATCTCCAACAGCTCCTTCTCCATTCTGGCTTTCATCCCAGGATACATCGTGTTCCCGCCAGTGAGGAAAACGTTCTGAACCAGCATTTCCTGAATGTCTTTTGGGTACCTAGGAAAGAAACGACTCCTGATATAGTCCCTTAACTCGAATCAGAACGAAATGCGGATGCAGAAATGTAAGCTCTCAGTACAAAACAGAATCTACACAAAAAGCTAAAAAAAAAAAAAAAAAGAAGTCAAAACTTTCATTTTTCACTTGCGTCTGTACAGAATGCCAGCCCAATGTTTCCAAACAGCCAGTCAAAACCATAATTTGAATGGTCAACTTACTTTCTCAACATGATTAGAATTTTTATACCTTTATAATAAATTTTTTTTTAATAAACTTTATTGAGGATAAATTTACAAACATTTTGATAAAGGCTAACAAATTTATACATTCCACTAACTATCACTACAATCAAAACACAAAACATTTCATGCCTCCCTTTGGAGGGCCCATCTATCTACCTGTGCTTTCTTTTTATCTTTTTTAATAACAGCTTTATCTAATACATATTTGATCACTTTCCCAACCACTGTTAAGACAAAGCTCAAAGCCACTCAAAGTACCTGCAGCAGCTTTTTTTCCTTGCTAGGTACAAGTTTCCCTGCTGTTTTAGCCAACACAGCCAGAGCACTATAAAATTCTATTCCCTACTTGCCCAACTTGAATTACCAAACTCACACTGCAGGAAAATGCCCACACAAATGGGTAAAATGCCTAAATTCTTATGGAAATGTAAACTCTTAAATAAGTAAAATGCCTGCAAGGAGGGAAAGAAAAACTTTTATTAGCTCTGCAATATTTTTAGGGTGATTTAAAATCACTAGTTTTTTTGTTTTTTTCTTTTACAATTAATGCCAAGTAGACACTTGGCATTCAAAAATCACTAGTCTTTAATAATGTGAAGGTTTGCATAGAAACCAGTGTACATGTTATCAGGTTGTTCAAACTTAAAAGACACTCTTAAGGCTCCTCAAGTCTACCCAGCATTTACAGGTTCAGAAAACAACTACAGAGCCCCAGTGAGGTGCCAGCCTGGTCATAAGATGTTAAGGGAAATCTGAGTACAGCAAATCAATGAAAAGAAGAGTGAGATGCATTTTCAAGTGCCTGACCATCAAATCTACCATTCAATGCAAAATCCAAGGAAATGGTTCAGGAAACATAAGGAAAAGCAGATTCACTGTCTCACCTGTCCAGAATGTACTGCAGAGTCTCTGCAATCCCAGCCTGCTCTTCTCCTATGAGAGACGGCTGGAAAATAATTTCTGGAGCTCGAATTCTTTCTGTCCCAACAAACAGCTGGTGATATGCTGCCAAGTTAAACACGGGCTTTAAAAACCCAAGGTTTAAAAGATATTTTTAGGCCAAATGACAAACATTCCAGTTGCTAGTTTCCTCAAACTGCATTTCTTATCCCAAGTTTCTGTCCTTTGTTAATGCCAGGATAGCCTCTCCCAACTCTCTCCACTTGCTAATTCAATTTCCTACCTTCTTTCAACCTGTGTATTATAAACACGTACATGTTTCCATCATGAAATGGTCCCTGAGTTACAGGGAGAGACTTTGTGGAGAGCAGTAAAAGGCTCAGCCTAGAGGACAAGTCTCCTGCGCAGCGCCTTGCTTAGTGTCCCATCCCTGCATGGAAGCTCTCTCCCAGGTGGGCCTCAGACTTAGGACAGGTTATCTGGTTGTCATTGTAGTGACAGAAACATACACTCCAAAGAGGATTACGTGTACTGGCATTGGCTTGAACATCAATGAAACCATATAAGCCAGTCTTCAGCTCTCGAGTTCCCAATTACTTTCCCAAATGTTTCTGCCGGGTGGATTGTTTCTCACAGATTCACAGATCTTGGCGCTGGAACCAATCAATCAATCACTGGGGGAAAAAAAAATCCCTGACTTCAGATGTTTTAAGTATTGGTACCCAATTTTCTAAAAAAAAATATAACAGGTTTTTCTTTTTTTTTTTTTTTAAGTCCTAAAGAAGCAGACTAGCCCAGTCATTTATGTCAACACCTTCAAAGAATAAGCATGTTCTGGGTTGTGAGAATCAAACCTGGACAGTGGTGACCGGCTTCTCCACTCCAGGTGTTTCCTCTGAAAACAAGGGATCAAAATCATTCATGCTTTCCACATCTTCCAAAGACGGTTCCAGCTGCTCCAGGTCAGGGGTCTAAGAGAAGAAGAGAAGCAGCAAAACGAAACAGAACCTGTACCTCCAGCAGGCCTCAGTTCTATCATTTTGGTGCCACGAAAAAGAACTGGGATCTTGCCCAATGTTCTAAAACCTTATATAAAAACTATGAAAATTTTTCTAAGCTATTTTTAAAAAGCACACATGAACATGAAGACTAAAAAGCCAGGAACGGGCTTTGCTTTGATCTCCTACCTTTCCTACTTTATACAAGCCTCACCAACCCCCGCCTTCTCTAAAGCCTTCTGATGGTGCCAGCTCATGGCTGGCCCCGTGGAAGACTTGCTGCTTGCATGAGTCACACCACCACACACGCGACTCTGAGAGAAGGGTGTGACAGCTGCTATCCTACAAGGCAGCTAGACTACAAGCAGTTAAAGCAGCCTCTTAATAATTTATAAATACATCTGCTGGCCAGGAGCAGTGGCTCATGCCTCTAATCCCAGCACTTTGGGAGGCAGAGGCAAGCAGGCTGCTTGAGCCCAGGAGCTCGAGACCAGTGTGGGCAACATGGTGAAATCCCGTCTCCACAAAAAATACAAACATTAGCTGGGTGTGGTGGTGTGCACCTGTGGTCCCAGCTACGTGGGAAGCTGAGGTGGGAGGATCACTTGAGCCTGGGAGGTTGAGGCTACAGTGAGCCATGATCACGCCACTGCACTCCAGCCTGGGTGAAAGAGGAAGACCCTGGCTCAGATATATAAATAAATATATGTGGCAACATTAATGAGCTCAACAATCAGTTCCTTAGTAGGTACCGTTGGGCTGGGAATGGGACTAGAGGCCACAAGGCAGCAGAGTGCTTCCTATCTGTGGAGTCCTGCAGAACAAGTTCTGCTCTATGACCACAATGAACTTGGGTGGGGTCTAGACATGCTGGCACCATTCCCAAAAGAGGAGTCAGGGCACTTTAAATTTTAACCTGTACAAAATAAGTTAGCCATCTTAAGTTAGCCATTTTTAAGTTAGTGACATCTTTAGCCATCTGTCACTGGACTCAGTGGTGAGAAGTTCCAGGTAGAAATATTTAGTTGCACCCCAAAGAGGAATGCTGTAACAATGACAGCTGCTGCAGAATGGACTGTCTTATGAGGTAGTGTCTTGGGAGGGTTCAAGCAGAGTACAACCTATAGCCAAGTATGCCTGAGAGGAGACTGCACCACTGAGTATGCATTCTCTAAGTCTCTCCTTACTCTCAGAATTTATGAAGTATGTAAATTACCAACATAATTCAGAGGACTTAAATATACTTCTCTAGAACCTACTCATATATACTGCAAATGTAAACTGGCATTCAAATAAGGCAATACCCCTGAACACCCCACACACATTCACACACCAAAAGTCATGAGGCAAATATGGCATGCAAGATGGGTGACAATGTACTCGAAATTCTGTTCAGTATAGATGATTCTACAATATTTGAGGGGGGTTTTCCAGGCTTGAGGATAAAGCCTGGAAAGGAAAGCGAATGTCTCTTCATGAGAGGCTTGTGTACAGGAGAGGGGGCTGGTTTGCAGAGGTAATTTGAGGGGGAAAGAAGATGGGTATGTGACAAGAATCTAAAGAATCTTGCTCTCAGGGAAGGAAGCAAAAGCCGTCCCTGCCAATACCGAATGAGACGCAGAGGGGAGGGACACCTGCTATCTGCACAATCCTCACTGCAGAGATTTATTACTGTATTTGATGGGTGAGGAAGCTGTGGCTCAGACAAGTGAAGTAACTTGCCCAAGGTCACATCATACAAGCAGGCAGTGGACACGTGAGAGGTGGCAGAACTGCTCAGTTCCAAAGTCTCTGTTCTGCCTTAAGCTGCAGTTCTATAAATCATGAGCCTAAGACAACTGGGGCATTAGGAATATGGAAAAGATCTAGCCTAAGGTCAGAATAGGTAATATAAGAGATGAATGAAAGATTTTACATGCAGCAGCAAGACCAGCTGAAGGCAACGGCAGGCTCCTCTGTTCAAGCAGGGACAGCAGAGAAGGAGTAAAGGAACATTCCCTTGCGTCTGCAGTTTGTGATCCGGAAGACTCTCAGCTCCCCTCACAAGAAAGGAGCACTACCCCAGGAGTGTCTGTGCCTATTCTGGCTTGGCACCAAATCCAGCTCTTCAGGAATGACCCCGAAGGGGTTCCAGGAGAGGACTGGAAATTGGTCATCAAAGTTCTTTTTCATTTGGTGCTTTGTCATCTGGGGGAACCAGGAGGCGAGGTGGCATTAACAGGAAGTGGTCAGGCTCTGGAGTCACATTGCTGCAGCTCAGAATGGCAACCAAAGGTATATTAAAGGTCACAGTGAACCAGGCATAGTGGCTCACGCCAATAATCCCAGCACTTTAGGAGGCCGAGGCAGGCAGATCACAAGGTCAGGAGATCGAGGCCATCCTGGCTAACATGGTGAAACCCCGTATCTACTAAAAATACAAAAAATTAGCTGGGCATGGTGGTGGGCACCTGTAATCCCAACTACTTGGGAGGCTGAGGCAGGAGAATCTTTTTTTTTTTTTTTTTTTGAGACGCTCTTGTTACCCAGGCTGGAGTGCAATGGCGCGATCTCGGCTCACCGCAACCTCCGCCTCCTGGGTTCAGGCAATTCTCCTGCCTCAACCTCCTCAGTAGCTAGGATTACAGGCACGCGCCACCATGCCCAGCTAATGTTTTTGTATTTTTAGTAGAGACGGGGTTTCACCATGTTGACCAGGATGTCTCGATCTCTTGACCTCATGATCCACCCGCCTCGGCCTCCCAAAGTGCTGGGATTACAGGCTTGAGCCACCGCACCTGGCCTCAGGAGAATCTTTTGAATCTGGGAGGCGGAGGCTGCAGTGAGCCACAATCGTGCCACTGCACTCCAGTCTGGTGACAGAGTGAGACTCCATCTCAAAAAAAAAAAAAAAAAAAGGTCACAGTGGCAGAATTGGGAAAAGTATACTCTGAGCTGCTTCTCCATCTATGTGTAAGTGGGACACACAGTTAGGACAGCGGTGGGTGAGAAAAGAACAACTAACTCTTTCCTCTTCCCTTTTAAATACACACTCAATTTGGACCCTTAAATAATTCCGTTATATTACTGGGTTGAAGACAAAGATGTCATCTGTGTATTTAAAATAACTACAGACAAAACCTGTAACCTGTGATTCCCCAAGTAATGGGTGAAAACAAGCACTGGCTCCACTGGGGTCCTTCCTCTCTACACCGCACATTTTTATCCTATTCTTCGTCTTCATCCTAACCTCCCCTCTAGCCTCCCTCAATCCAAGTGATGACCTTTCCTGTGGATTCACATGCCCTTCTCTACTTGGCCTGGAATCCAATCACTTTAGCCACCATCCGTCGTCGAACTCTATCTGCTTCTGTTACACCCAACCAACAAGCCTGCAGGCTAAACGATGCCTCCCCACACTCTTTCCACTTGCGCTCTGGAGCAGATTATATTTTTAAAAGAAGTTCACAACAGTAACATCTATCCCACATACTTTTCTGTAATATGACCTTGACACTCCCTGTAAAGAGGCGGCGGGTCTTTGTTTCCTCCCCTTGAGTCTTTGTGGGGAATTGTGAGGACTACGACCAACAAAGTATGTGCAAATGATGTCATGTGACTTCGGAGGTAAGGTCCTAAAAGGTCATGCAGTTTTCTTATCATCTCTTGAAACATTCACTCTCTGGCTGCTCTCTTGGGAAGCTCCCTCTTGGAAGCCAGTGGTCAAGCTGGGAGGAGCCCAAGGCATACGAAGAGGCCATGTGTGGGTGCCTGAGTCGAGTGTCCCCCATAAACCCAGCCCTTGAGCCCTCCCAGCCCAGATACCAGACAGGTAAGTGAAAAACCCTCCACCTGATTCCCGTCCCTCACTGTTTTAAGACTTCCCAGCAGTGGCTCCAGGCACCTTGAAGCAGAGATCCCTGCTGTATCCTCTCTAAATTCCTCTCCTATCAAACCCGTGAGCACAATAAAATGGTGGTTGTTTTATGCTGCTAAGTTTGGAGTGGTTTTTGTAGCAACAGAAAAGTTAAACACTCTCCAGGGGGGCAGGAGTGCAGAAAGCCCCAGGTGCTATTTAGGCAATTCTGAGGTTACTTTTCAGCTTCTTTGTGGCTGCCCTTTCCCACAGTCCCTTTCCACAGTCCCCTTTCTAATATCAACCCTGGAAATCTTAAAAGATCACCTCAGTTGCTTCAAAAACTGAACTTCCCTCTTAATTCTTCATTCTACTTCCTTATCTGTTTTCTTGTCCTTGAGAGCATGTTTCAAGGTTCTAGCAGGGGAACGCAGCTACTGGTATGCCCTTGACCGAAGAGTGGTCCTCCTTTATTGGTGATGGTCATTCTCTTTGATCAAGTGTGCAGCTTCGGGAGGGATGCACATGAAGTGGTGAGGACAGAAGGGGACACCTGCCTAGCTAGACAGATCAGTCGAATCAACCCCACCAATCATCACAGCCAGATCACCCCCATGTCCTATTTTCTTATCCTTTCTTTTTTTTTTTTTGAGACGGAGTCTCACCCTGTCGCCCAGGCTAGAATGCAGTGGCACAACCTCGGCTCACTGCAACCTCTGCCTCCCAAGTTCAAGCAATTCTCCTGCCTCAGCCTCCTGAATATCTAGGATTACAGGAGAGTGCCACCACACCCAACTAATTTTTGCATTTCTAGTAGAGATGGGGTTTCACCATGTTGGTCAGGCTGGTCTCGAACTCCTGACCTTGTGAGTTGCCCACCTTGGCCTCCCAAAGTGCTGGGATTACAGGAGTGAGCCACCACACCTAGTCTTTTCCTATCCTTTCAAGCCTTCCTTGTTTCAAAAAATAATCTGTCATCCTAGGTTAAGCTGACCATTCAAGCTCTTAACTCTCCCATCAATTCTTTTGGCCTCCTTTATCTCTGACTGCTTTTTCTCAATCTCCATCCTGGCTTTTCTTCTGTCACCTAACTCTCAAGTGGTGGCATTCTCCAGGCATTTTTCTTTTCTCCCTCCCC